CTCTTCGCCGTCGTCGAGGCGCCCGCCGCGGACCACGCCGCCGGCGGACCGCGAGGTCGGAGGCCGGGCTTGCATGCGCTTGACGTGCACCGAGGACTCGAAGACGTAGCGGAGCGGGTCCCGGCGCGCCGGCCGCCGGCCGCGCCGCGCAAGAGCGAGTCGCTCTTCGCCGTCGTCGAGGTGCCCGCCGCGGACCACGCCGCCGGCGGGCCGCGAGGTCGGAGGCCGGGCTTCCATGCGCTTGACGTGCACCGAGGACTCGAAGACGTAGCGGAGCGGGTCCCGGCGCGCCGGCCGCAGGCCGCGCCGCGCAAGAGCGAGTCGCTCTTCGCCGTCGTCGAGGTGCCCGCCGCGGACCACGCCGCCGGCGGGCCGCGAGGTCGGAGGCCGGGCCTCCATGCGCTTGACGTGCACCGAGGACTCGAAGACGTAGCGGAGCGGGTCCCGGCGCGCCGGCCGCCGGCCGCGCCGCGCGAGAGCGAGTCGCTCTTCGCCGTCGTCGAGGTGCCCGACGCGGATCACGCCGCCGGCGGGCGACGAGGTCGGAGGCCGGGCTTCCATGCGCTTGACGTGCACCGAGGACTCGAAGACGTAGCGGAGGCGGGTCCCGGCCGCGCCTCGGCGCTTGGATACCCGAGGTCAACGACTCGACGTCATCAACGTCGCGCTCAGGGACCACGCCGCCGGCGGGCCGCGAGGTGGGAGGCCGTGTGTTGGTGGGGGGGCGGGGGAGGGGGGGCGGGTGAGGGGGGGGGTCGACACGGGGCGGGCGTGAAAGATCGAAACGACGAACTCGATCCAGTTTTCGTTTCCACGTTTTCGCTCGTCGTTTTCGAACGTTTTTTTACCAAGTACATGGCTCGCGCGGCGAGGGGAAAGGGGGGGGGGGGCAATCGGGGGATATTTGGACGCGGGAGGAGACGATTGCGTGCGTCGAGCTGCTTTGAAATTTTCGAGCTCCTCCTGCGTCGAAAGATAAAGCAGATCGGGGTTAATTTTGACCCCTCGAGCTATGGGAGCTATTGGCACTTTTTTTTTGACTTTTTTTTTTCGATGCACCTACGCGCCCCGGCGGACCCCCGGGGCACCAGGGGGTGGGGAAGGGCGCTGCGACCCGGCGGGTTGTCGAGGAACTCGCTTTAGCGCGCGTGCGACGGCCGCGTGTCGCGCCCGCGCGGGACCGCGCGGCGCATTACGACGGTCGGGGCGCGTTCGCCCCCCCCCCGGGCT